TTTCAGCTCTCCCAAACCGTTCTTAGATACATTCAGGCACTTTTTATTGTGTTAAGTGTATCGCACGCAACGATTCCGCGATGACCAGCTTTATGTCGCCTAGAACAGGGGCAACGCGAAGTAAATTTAATTAATTAAAAGTGGTCGACACCATTCTATCACTTGCGTTGGAGGCGAACTCAGTAGGGGTTAGGAACGTCGCCTCCCGCGGGGCCTAACAGATGATATCAAATCAAAACCACGAATTTGGATTCAGCAGAAGGTATTCTGATGTTGGAGGGCTTGTTAAACACAAATCGTTCCAAAATGAAAGTCAAAGTATCACAGAAACGTTTAAAACGTGAACATTGTTGAATTTGCATGGACTAACAGCACTATCAACTATTTTTCAGTTATACGGTATAGTTTTCGGCAAGAAAAATGGCAAATTCTAACAGCAACGCAAACGTAAGTACCATGTGTGTGCATTTTAAGGCAAAGCTCTCTAACCGTCCTGCTGCTATTGAGTACGATGATTATCAATTTAATGCTAACCTGAATTCTAAGCATCGTCTAACCTGACCCAATATCGATACTTCAGAGCCATTTAAAGAAAAAGTTTGATTTGCATTCCACAAAGGTACTATTTTAACATTCGTGCAAGTTCATGAATCTCCAAGCTAATTCACTTCTTCCTTAGCATACCTGTTCCAGTTCAAAGAGGCTCGCTGTATGGCGCCAACTAAAGTCATCTTCATGAACGTTTAAACAGTGAATTCAGTCTCGTAAAATCTCATCGTTTGCAATGAAACATACTAGCTGCATGCAATTTATGTAGTCGGGTGTGTAAATTATTTTGTTCAAGGTCCAAAATTTCTAAGGATTTTTTTTAAGCTCAGAAGGCATTTGCTTTATTTCCCATTACTTTTGCTCGCTTCCGTCTTCTCTTACATCGTGATGACTTGGCTTTTTGGAAAACTGTTCAATCTTTCATGTCGATAAATTTAAAACCTATCATCGGCTGTCAAGGACAAAAATGAAACTAAGGCCGAACTATAGAACTCCAAGATCCTTCTGCCATTCGGATATTGATTATGTACTGGGTCGAAGAGAATATGGCAGAATAACTCCTTCCACCTTCAGTGACAATCAGCAATTTAAAGAGGGTTTTTTTATACAGCTGTAAGCATTAATTTCAGTAACGATCAGTGTGTATCGAGAATACCCATGAATCTCACATATTTCAAGCAAACTCTGTCTTCTATTCACCTCGTTTCTGTGCATTGATGAATAGTGCAACTGTTTGTTTCAGGACCAGGACAGATTTGTGAGCACAGATCGGTAAGTTGAACAACTCTTCGTTCAATTTACACATTCCAGATGCAAAACTATATCAACCTATAATCCCCTTTATGTTCCCCTTGTAAGAAATCAATACTTGCATTTTAAACAATACCTTTTGAATTGTTTCCAGATGTAGTATTTATAATCATAATAGCCACGATTGTACACACACTGCATATGTATTGATAATCTTGTAGATGCAAACAATGAGTATTTATGTGCAGTCTAATGCATCCTAGTTTGTCTTTCAAATAACAAATGTTTACCTTGCTTGTAAGAATTATTCATCTCTTACCTCTAACACATGACATGAACAAGTCTATGTTCTCGCACTATTTATCATGAAAACATGTTAATTTATTTTCATACATGCATGCATAGAATATCACACTTAGAACGTGAACGTCTATTGAAACCAAGTTTAATGTAAACAGTTAACTGTAAACAAACTGAGGCATGAACTTACCTCTGCCCTGCTTAATTCATTTTAGGGATGATCTGATGGACACATTCTCTCAGTTTCTGATATTGGACCTGGAGGTATGAAGAATCTTTTAAAAATTAAACTTCCTTTTTAAGTGCCAGGTTACAAATTTAAGTCTACCTCTGACTAAAATATGAACTTTCCCCCCTCCTTGGCCAAACTTTTGTACATGTACAAGCCCTCACAACAAATAGGCATCACATTTTCCCCAATCAGCCTCATATATCAGGACACATTTCTACTATGTAGATTGTCAACAAGATACATATTTCACACCACTTGGGAAGGGATACAAGAAAAATTAGTCTTCCCATCACATGAAAAGCACATTAGAGTAATAAAACTGATGACATGGGGGCCCCATAATAAGATATTTCATAAGTATGCAAGTTAGATACCAAGATAAAAAATAATCCAAGAATATTGCTGGGTTGTCAAAATTGAAGCTAAATGTAAATGTATTATGTATGAATGTAGATAATACTTTTTGATAATATCTACATAATATAATATTATTATAAGAGTTAAGGTTAAAAAGTGTATTAGCTATGAGGTGATAAATCTCATGATTTTTTTTCCTTTGTTTTATCAACTGAAACTTTAACCCCCTTTAACTCCCAAGATCTGATTGCTAATTCTCCTCTCCGGCTGCTACACACTTCTTTGTAAATTTGTTATAAGATTTTGGTGTTTGATCAAGATAACTTCTCCCACCTATTAATGGTTTCTGGGAGCTAAAGGGTTAAGTGTTTCTTTATGGCTGCAGCAGATAACATGTCTTCTT